ATTCGTATCTACTTATTTTTTGTTTATAAGTAGGTTTTACTCGACAATTGCACTACATAATGTGGTATGGGAAAAATGCCTTACCTTTCTTGAAATTCACATCTGCCATGTGACCAAATTGCGTTCTGACTAACATTTTGAGATTACACGCTGACGTGTCAGGGTTCGAGTGCAGTGAGGAGGGCAGATGCGACGAGACGAAAGTGTAGCCTTTGGGAAAGTAGGTATTTGTGAAATTGCATGCAAACGTCATGTCTACTCACAAGATTGTGAGTACATCAACCTACCAGTCCCCTTATCATCCTGAACGAAACATGATGAATACTTTTGTGGGTCTTTCACAGATTGTTGCGAATAACGCTTCAAGCTTCCCGGGTTTGCTGACAGTCACAGGCAACTTCACATTCATTTGGGTGAAACATACATTTCGGTCTTCTCCTTGAGGGTACCGGGAAGAAGAGGTATCGGCGTCTGGTGTCTTGTGCCGGGTGAAGGGTGATGGGTAATGCAGCCGACATGTCATCTCCTCGGTCCGCATTCGAATGTCGTGTCTGAGACGCAGTCCGCGTGAGTGGTTGGCTGGTCTCAATTTCGAGTTCCAACGTTCGGGTTGCTGAGGCTTTGGTGCAAAATGTGTGTAGCCTCCTGGCCGGTCAGAGTGGGCAACCGGACTGGTCACTGTTTGTGTGTGTGTGTGTGTGTGTGTGTGCTCGCGAAAATGTACCATCTCTCTTCCTGCCTGTCTCGCTCCCTTTGGAACTCAGTGTCTCGCCTCATGGGCGCCACAAGTGCAGCCGTTGCCGGCGCCTACCAGCAGCATTCCACAAGCCTCGGCTTCCCCAGCGTCACGGACGCCTCCAGCTCGTGTTACTCGAGTCCCGGACTGCCCATCGGGCCGGGCCTCGTCGGCCTCGACACTTCGCCCTGCTCCACACCCGCCGAGACGCGCCAGTCACATCCGACCAGACAGTTGGCAGCGCAGCATCAGCAACCACATCAACATCAGCATCAGCACCTGCACCAGCAACAGCATCACCAACAATCTCAACACGACCAGCCTCCTCCACCTCCTCCACATCATCCTCCACCTCCTCCCCCTCCCCCTCCTCCTCCTCCTGCTCCTGCTCCTCCTCTCCCTACTTCCCTCCCACCTCCGCCACCTCATCCTCCCCACCAGCACCACCACCAACAACAACAACAACAGCAACAGTTGATGATGAATGCAGCCTATTCGGCGGCTCACAATTGCGGCGTCT